CACATTTATAGTAAATTCAAGTCTTGTAAGCAAACATGCAATGATTAAAGTACAAAAAACACAATTTTCAGATCAAATATATTTAAATTAATTTTAATAAGTACAAAAAGATAATGTTTAGCATTAATTTGCATGTGATTAATCAGGAATTTTTTAAATAGCAAGCATAATGACACATTCAATAAAGGTCAAATTATCTTACATACATAAAAAATAGCGACTTTTCCCAATTACAACAAGGTCACAAATTACAAATATTATTAGCTCCTGAATGATTTCCTAAAACTGGAAAACCTACCATACAAGGATACCGTCACCCCAAAATTTTCAAGTTTCACCTAATGTGACTATTTAATGTTTACAATTAGAACTTTATCATGCATTCTTTATGCATATACTTTTTTTTTATCAACTTGTACCAAGGGAAAATATTTTAGTCTTTTTTTTTTTGCCTTGTTTTTCTAATGTAGCAAACAAATATGAAGCTTTTTATAGTTTCCATGTATGCCACCTCTACGAAAAATATTTCATCATAGTCATGTTACTCAGTGTGGAGCACACCAAACCAGATTACATTTGTTCAGAAAAATCTTGAAAAAAAAATTGGATACCAACAAACTTGAAATCAACAATGGAGCAGGCACCCAAGATCAACAATAAACAATCAAAGACTTAGGCACAGATGGTCAAGTTTAATTCATGAATATTGTAGCTCAAAGTTCAACTTCCCTTAGGCCTTTCTAATTACACATTAAACTTCTTTACACATTATGCTGGGCATAAATCACAAGCGCTTCTACTACTGTGTTGAATATTTTAAATATAAATTAATTGTGAATGAATTCATGAGGCATCATTCCTAAAGTAATTCTATTTAACTACTTTGTTTTCCTTCCCTAGGACCAATCGTTTGCACAAATACACTTTGTTGGAGGTACTTATTTATCCAGGCTTGCATCTGGCAGCATGTTGTGGTAAAGTTGGTCTTCTGAAACTAAGCATGAAAAACTCCAATTTTCACACCAATCAAGCTAATTCAACACTTAGATTCCCTGCACTGGCATTTATTTTTGGTCAGTTTAGGCTTCCTCCTATTTATAATAGTTTGTAAGAACTTGTTTGATGAAATCAACACATAACATTTGAAGTCCAGTGGATTTAAATGCCATGAAACCATCAATATGATCAATAAAAACCTCTCCGATCCCTTACAAAACCAGCAGAAAAGAGAAGAACATAACGAAGAAAGTGTTTCTTTTGTGTGTTTAATCAACTTTAAGCATTTTGTTATACATTATAAGTACATATGGGTCAAAACAGAAAAATATAATGTATTCCCAGACTGTAACCGATGTTAGTAAACAGCTATTTTCACAAAAGTAGATTCTTGGTTGCTGTGCAGTTCACTTTTAGTTTTGCTTGATTTTACTGTGTAGGAAGCAGATAGTGGCCTTCTTATTGGATTGATGCTCCCCAAAATATATGAATATAAAGTTGAGTTAAAGCAAAAAAAAATATAGCTTTTGTTTTTACTTTGCCTGAAATATGTGTTAGAGTGGCATGTTGGTGTACTGTATAGAAAATTTAAGCTTCCACAACTTTAAGAATCACACAGTGATTACGGTAGTTGTGAGGACTGAATGAGCAATAACTTTGACTAGCATGCCATGATAGCATGTGCTTTTAGATGAACTCTCTATAATAATATGCTTAGAACTGTTTCAATTTAAAAAGGCGTGCAACTAAGCAGTAGTGAATGTAGATGACTTGCTACTTGCAAATGAACAACCAGATGCTTAACTAAATGGAAGCTTTCACAAACCTCCACTGAGAAACTTGGAGTTAAAATATATTTTTTCTATTATAACTCACAAGCAGAATTGTGATATCATGGTTAATTTAATGGCTCAAAAGAACCAAACTGAAGTGTATCAGAAAAAAATGGTTAATCCTTTATAAGAAGGCTATTTCTAGCCATTTCTATAGCTCGATTAAATTCCAACTAATAAGTTTATTACAGATCTACTTAAAAAGCTAATCTGTTGGCTAAGTGAATTGATAGTTTAATTAGAGCTACATTTGTGATTGGATCCATTAATAAAATAAATTGTTTATATTTCATAGGTTTGTCTAAACTTCTCAAAATATTATTTCATAACTGGGAAATACATGCACACACATACACACACATGTACACACACACACACTTACTTATAATCAAAGTTAAGACCTAAAGGTTCTTTGGGGCTATTGCTCTAAACTGAAACATAAATATGTTGCTCACACCTACTGGCAATATTAATTGATGTAATGCATTAAATACAACACAGAGGGGATGATCTGAAGTGGGGTATATAATTACATATATATAAGAAGATGCTGTCTATGTAAAAAATATTTCAACTAAATAAAATTGAGAACAGTGGTCTAAATAAGTTGGAAAGTTAAGAATTTTAAGGAAATAACATGATATAAAATTCTTATAAGAAGTAGATATTGAATAATTTATTGAATGTCACCTTCTCCAAATATCTTTTACATGAACTTGATCTATTTCAGGGTTTTAATCACGGTGCATACCTTGTTAGAATCATGACTGTTAGGTATTTCAATATATACTTATGTATGTATAATTTCTCCTCTTTATTAGGAAGTTAAAAAAAGAAAATGCTTCACATAGTTCAATTAGTAACAACTCATTATTCTGGTGGCATTCTCTCTTCTTTTCTTGTTTTAGAGACCCTAAATTTTTCTTTGATAAAACTACGAGTGCTTAACAAGAATGGAAAATCTGATTACTTTTATATAATGTTGACAAAACAAGATTATAAATATTAAAAATACTTATTAAATAGTGCATTTAATTTTTAAAGCATGCATAGAAGAAGCAAATATCATAACTTGTCTTTTCCATGTCGTTATTAGTGATTTAGATACAATGTCTTAGGTTCCCAAGCAGATAGTCAACACTGCATCATTTGCAATTTAATTTTTATGATTATGCATATTTTGGACTAATAACAGGGAAGATCAAGGTGCCTATGCAACCCCAATTTAAAGGAAAATAAATGCAATACAGGGTGGCAATGGGCCAGCTCATGATTCCTTTGAAATTCTGAATATTTTATATGAAAAAAATCAGGCAATTGCTCCAAAATATGCTGATAAATGTAGAAATGCCAGAAGGCTAATACCAGAAGCAACCTGTGTAACAAACCTACCAATATGACCCCAGATTTCAAATTAAGCAATAAACATTTTAGTGTTTCACGGGCACTAGTTGAAAAAAATTCTTAATAGATGCCTGAAGAACCATGACTTTGCAGGTGGTGACCTAAGCTACTTCCCTTGTCCTCCCAACAGAATGATGAGAGGACAGGCCAGAGTCCACTATCCACCGAATCCATAGAGCGTGGGTGTCCATTGGAATCACAGAATTCTGTGCCCTTTGTCAGGAATAAAAAAAGAGCCACATCATAAACATGTGAAAAGTATGAGTGAAATAAGGGTTTCTGTGTTCTTTTTAAATAAAGTATGAACCATTTAAGCAGATGTGGCTCAAGGGCATCAGTTATCCAAACCTGAGATAAATTGAGATAAATTCAAAATACGGAGATTCCCTGAAAAGACTACTAAATATTGATTGACACTTAAAAATCACTGAAGGTTAACAAAAACATTAAACGGTTATATTAATTCCATTTTTATATTTAAAAAACCTAGGAGCATGGAAGGGAGAAAAGAAACAGTTACCATCTTAGCACACTAGCAATCTCATAGGCAAGTAAGCAACTCTCAGTGCTAAATTGCTTTCTATGTTCCGTTTAGTCGTTTAAGTCTTTAAAAGAATGAGATATACTTTACTTTTTTAACTCAGTTCTGTGGATATGATGTGAGCGGTAGTAACAGCCTTCCCATTGCATAACACATGGTCGGAGGTAAAAAATATTTGTTGAGCAATTAGCTGAATCAGAGCAGTAGCTATACAAAAATGAGATTTTATTTCCATACATGTACATGTACTTGTCTACATTTTGTATATTCTGTAACCCATTACATTAACGTACAACTACATAAAATAAGCATAATGTTATGAACCAAAGAGAACACGTACTATATTTAAAATGTTTCCTCCCAAAATAGGCATTTTAATATGCCACTTCTAATTTGTATTTTAAAGTGGTTTATGGAAGAGAATAACAGCGAAGACGATGGTTTTATAATTTAAAGTCCTTTTTCCGTGGAGCAACCTCCAGAGAAGGATGGAGAGAACCAGCAAGATCAAAGGCTCTCTGGTTTATCTAAACTTTAAAAGATTAAATAACTTGTGAAAAATTTACTGAAGTTAGAGAAATAATAGGAAATTCTGACCATAAAATTTAAACTGCCAGGATGTCATCAGGCTCAAATAAGATTTTAACAATTGAAACTGAAAATAAAATAACAATAATTATAACTTTTCTGGTCAATCTACAACTAATTTTAATAAAATGGATGCCATCAAATGTAGGGTCAATCCTTTGCTGAAGGTGTAAACGAGTTTTTTCTTTTGTCCTGAAGAAACAGCCATTTACATATCTACATATTTTTAAATGATTTATAGTCAGACATTAAAGGGCCAGTGCAGAACTTATAAGGACAATATTTTTAAGGTGTCTAATAATGGCATATCATACAAAGCATCTTTATTGCTTGCTTTCAACACTGTGGACATTCTGGGACTATTGCACACTTCCCTAAACTACATAAAAGAGTTTTGCTATATTTAAATGTGGGAGAAAATAGGATATCTTCCATTTCAATGTATACATAAAGTGCACATTTTAAAACTATTTAGATAAAAAATAAGGTGTTTCTGAAATGGGATTAAAGAAATACATTTATTGGCTCATATAATACTTTTCTTTTATTAAGGACTAGCGGCCCAATGCACGAAATTCATGAAGGAGTAGTTCTTCCTTCCCCCGATGCCAGCACCAGCTTCCCCTCTCTGGCACCTGGGACCCGGGCTTCCCTTGCAGCCCTGACTTCATCCAGAAGGTCTTCTGGAGGGACATCCAGTCTAATTAGCATATTACTCTTTTTTTATCCTAGATGATAGATTACACTTTGTGAGGGACTGTTTACTGTCAAGGCTGTCTTCAGGGTGAATTCTGTTAAAGAGATGCATTTGTGACCTTGGTAATAAGATAACCATGCAAAGCACATAATAAAAACCACACTAAAACGAAGAAAACAAGAAACATTTTAGACTAGGCAAAGGGATAGCAGTTTTTGTGCCTTTGCTTACTTCAATAAGATAATAATTTTACTGATTTTATGAATGTATCTATTTATGCACTATTCTGAAATACTGTACAAAATTGCAAGAAATGCCACTATTTGACTACTGATGTTGCTACAAAAACACCATCATAACTACTAGTAAAAGTCAACTAATAACTGCTAATGTGTATGTGAATCAAAAGGATTTTAAGTTTGCCAAAAACATTGAATCCAGGCATAAGACACAATTGTTACCTTCTATTAACATTTTTGAGGGGCATAAAGAGTATTTTTTTTAATATTAGAAGAAAAATAAAATTCATCCATAAATAATTATATAAAGTAGAAAAATTTAGTTTTTAATTTAGCCACTTGTTTGTGTATGTGTTCTAAGGTAGCTACTTGTGTGTGTGTGTGTGTGTTATGTGTGTGCGTATGAACTGATTTGCGATCTTGGTGACGCTTTGAAGTTGCAGTTTAAAAATGTTCAACTCTTACCAAAACCTCTCCCGGTATACAAAGCTGTTGTAAATTTGAGTCAGTGAAATTTAAAGTTGCAATTTACAAAAGCAGATTTACGTTGAATTCTTATCTGAGAGTGCTGCTTTCAAGACAAGAAATGTGCCAACTCACTGCCCTTTCCATTGTAATTGGTGGCTTCTGAGTCCTGATGAAAAGAAGCCTTAAGGCAGAATTTGCAGTAAACAGGAAAGAAGAGAATCATGTACGTGTTCACCTACATATCTACATTCTGTGACACCTGTGAGTTCTCAGTGGTGGGAGTTTCTGGCACAATTTTCTACTCTCATATGAAAGCTGCTCCACAGCAGCCAATGGGGTGCTTTTTCCAGTCTCCAGCACCGAGAAAATTGAACTGATCAATTTCAAAACAACACATACCTGGAAAGAGTAAGACACATTTTTATTTTACTTTTTCAAACAATTTAAGAGAGTTGCCAATGATTAAAATGACCATGAGGATTTCCATTATGACTTTCAAATAAACTCTGATGCTGAAAATGTAATGACCATGGCATTCTGAGAGTCACTAAATTCTAGGCATCCAGATCGGTGTTACTCATAATTATTTGGGCTTGTCATGCTATAATATGTACATGGCTATAGATACTATAGAGAGGAATTAAAAGCTGATGTCAAATCTCTAGTGTTCCTTCTAATGTGTGCTAAGCTTCCAATTATGCTAGGAGGGATTCTGAACACCCAAGAAGGGACTGAAGTTGCTGATATGAGGTTCCGTTATTTAGAAGAATTGATCCTGGAATTACAATGTTATCTTACATTACAGTTAAGCAACAGTAGAAAAACACTTCTATATAAGACCCAAGTCAAAAAAAAGTTCATCGAGTGTGGTAGAGGGGGGTCTCCAGTTTCATCGCTGTTACAAGAGGAAATAAATCAGGTCGTCTGAAATCCATCTTAAGCCAGTTCCTAGGGTAAGTCATGATTTGGGCACGAGGTACTTTCTGCCTACAGTTCCACGCAGTAGCAAATTCATGTCTCCTTGAAAGGTGTACGGTTAAGCTATATCGCTATATACATACTGTACATGTTGGTTCACCAATTAGCAGTTATTAGTCAGACTGTACAGAGCAAAACAAACCGAGCTTCATGGTGCTACACATCCCAAAGTTAACCTGTGCCGACGCTCAAGGACTGACCCCTAACACAGGCTCCCTGTTTAAATACGTAGCCCAGTAAACCAGATTAAAGGTACCAAACAAAACTGGGAAGACTATTCTAGACATTCTGTCAATTTTGCTAACACTGTTGAAGGTTTTCTTGGCTTCGGCTGGCTTGTTCTCCGGCTTCTTGTTGGGTTCTGGCGTGGCTGCGCTCTTGGAGATGGTGGAGAGAACTGGGTCTTTTGAAAGATTCGGGGCATAATTGGCCACAGCCACTGCATAGGCGTTGTTCTGGATCATGACGGAGGCTTTCTCTTTTTTCTATTGAAAAACACAAGAATTAACAGAACGTGGGTTGAGCCTGCTTCTTAATACTTTCCAAACTTCAGTTCAAATTGTGAAGAAGAGTATTTTGATAAACATCATTATCCACCAGAAATAAAGAATGTACGGAAATAAATAAAAGAAGTTTGTAAAGTCCTAAAACCATGAGGGTGAGATACCCTCCGAATAAGATCAATGGTACCATTTTCCTGGAGAACCATTATTTGTTCCTATTGAAATAGTAATATACAACTGTAATACATGACACAACAATTTTGACTACTATAAGTAACTCACATATTTGTTGAATGAGTGAGTGAGTGAGTGACTAAGTGAAATGCAAAAATATTTCAACAAGGGGAATGATCATTTATAATGAATGATTTCAGATTCTGAATAAAGAAATTTAAATTTCTTTAACTTGATAGCAGGATTTCCTCCCTTCATGTCACACTCAAACACCAGTGCTTCACTCAGATGGTAAAAAATTGCAACCATATGCAGGTGGCAGTGTAATGAACATTACAAACATAAGGAGGAAGATGAAATACAAACTTTTTATTTTATTTTTGCCAGCTTATTCACAACCTGTTTCTCCTCATAATCCCCAGTTCAGCTCTCATGACTCTAGTCGGGGTCACTGTTAATTCCTGCCTGGATGAATGGATATTCCTGTATGCTCTCGAGCCCGGAGTGACCTTGTCCAACCATTAGACACACTCTGGCCACAGGGATTTTTTAAAAAGACATAAATGGGATCATGCCACTCTTCTGCCTAAATCTCTTTAGTATTATATCTTGGAACTTGCAGTAAAATCAACACTTCTTACCAAGGTCTTTTTTCTTTTGCTTATGATATACCAGTCCACGAAAATAGCTTCTGTTTTCAGAATATTTCCTTGTTTGGTGCCTCTGGCCCTCCTACTTCCACAGCCTCATTCCTTCCATCCATCCAGATTTTCACATGATCCATTCCCTCTCCACTGTGGATCTTGTTTGAAATGTCATTTCCTCAGAAAGGCATGCCTTAACTACTCTACCAGTCCTTGTTCCCATGTAAGCTCTTTCATCACACTCAGCTTATTTTATCCCCATCATGGTATTTTTCAGAATGTGTAAATTCCTTCTTTAGTTGTGTGATTGTTTTATTGGCACATACTATGTAGCTGAATTAATGAAGCCAGAAAATATCAACAGTGTTTACCAGCATTTTTATATTAATATAAATGTATTGTTAGTTATTAAAATGCAAATAAAATGGAGCCAGCCAATGAATTATACAAAATAGTGAATAGTGTAAATCAACAGACTTAGAGGACCAATCGGCCTAGAACAGGATCAGTTATTTTGAATTAAAAATTCTCAAAATATTTGCGTAAAATAAGATTGGAAAGCACCCCTGAAAGGGCAGGAGGTTCTGAAAACAGGACTGGATCCTCTGTCCTTCACTGGCATCTGGCTTTTTCCTCTCCTTTTCCCTGGATGAGACATTCTTCCAGGCCGGGCTGAAGTAGAAAAGGAAATGGGGCGAGGGAGTACGTTCTGTATCTTCATACGCAGTGAAAACATAGCCTTTCTTCAGTAGTGACAGTTGTAGTTACCGTGTTACAATGGACAGTGATGGTGAGTTGATAGCTAACACTTTCCCACACTGGTATGTGTCAGGTTGAATGATAAGCCTAGGTGTCATCTGTGACAAACTTCACTACTGGGTAAGAAGTAACACCATGTTATAAATTCAGAAAGAGAGGCTAGAGAGGTTTCGTGACATGACCAGGTCTCGCGTTTATTAAATGGATGAAAAAGCACACAAACTTAGATGGGTGTGACTTCTAACCCCTGCTTTAAACACCATGCAATGTGAGTTTCACTCTGAGAAAGCTATTTGAAACTTGGAAGTACTCGTTACTAAAATAGTCCAATTTATGTTACTGGGTCAATTTTCGATAAGGACTCTTAACCCACAGAGTATGTAACATATGGTGTTTATATTATTTCAACTACACCTAAGCATCATTTAAAATGACATCACATTTCATTTCTAGAGAATTGGGGCCTTGAGAATATTTCTTAACATCTCCCTTCTTCAGCTTCTAGTTTGATTGAAATGGAAGTAATTACACCAAATCCATATTGAACTTTTGTGAGAATCAAATGAACTAATGTAAGTATTTGAGCCACAGTGAAATACATAGTATTTAGTGGCGAATAGTGAGAGTCAGAATACAATTACAAGCTAGATAATAATTATTACTATATAAGATATTTAAAAATGTACTTTATATTTTTGGAAGAAAACATAAGCACTGTACAAAGGAGCTCAAGGAAGGCTTGGTGGAAGAGAGACATTTAAGTTGGGTTAGGAATTATGGTGTACGGTTGACTTTAGACAAAGAAACATAACATATTCATGTTGCCTGCTACAAGGGAAGCTACAGATAGAACTCTATACTAACTCTTACCAGCACCCTTTCTGCCTCCCTTCAATTGTAAGTAACTGCACAGGTGATACCAGAAATACGTAACAAACTCTAGAGCAGAGGCACTAACAAATCAAAACACCAGAATTCTCACTCATTGTTTCACTAGACTTCACCTACATAAGCCTACAAGTTTTTAAAACATGAAATATCCAGAAATGAATTAAGGCTACTTTCAATGCCAACCTAAATCTATAATACCCTTCTGTATTCCCTAACCTGCGAATAACACCTCAAGAAAGCTAGGAACAGTAATCAACCCACAGGGGTCCCCTGTGGCAAGTACATTTTACCCAGACTCAGCTCAGAATCACATCTGTTAAGACATAAGTTAGTCCCCCGTAAATGTGCTTCCACAGCACCCTCGTGCTTGTCTCTCTGTGGCATATCTTTGTCACATCTTCTTTTTCCCCTTCCACTTGATTGCAAGCTCCTTGGAGGCACAGACTATGCAATGCGGAGCTCCTAGCAGGCTCTAAAAATGTTTGCTTAATGGTAAATGAGTGGCAGGTACTAGGATGATGTACCTGATTTTATGTACATACATATACATATATAATATGTACAAACATTAGGTTTTTGTAGAATATTATCATTTTCATTAGATTAATAGAAATAGATTTCAATAGTTTATTCTACAATTCTATTATGTAATTCTCCTGAAATTTCTCAATTTTACCATCTATAGATGTAGGAGACTGGGAAATCAAGAAATAAGCTCAACTGTAAAAACAATGTTTGTGGGAGTTGTTTTACTGGCGATTGAAACTCATATAAGTGAGAAGGGGGATAATGTGGCTTGTGAACAAAATCAGTAAATGATGTATTTTTTACACTAGTTAGGGAAAAGGTGAATTATGCCACTATAAAAGTTGTTGATGTTGCTATCAAAGTGGAATGAAAAGGAAATATAACCAACATTAATTAAATTCTATTTTTAAAATGATGTTTTATAGAATTCAGGATATTCTGAGCTTATTATTTTATTGGAGTTCTGAATATATATTTAAAAACTCAGGTCTAGACATTTTCTGATTACAGAAATCAAAATGTCTTACACCAGAGTGGCTAACCAATCTTGGCTTCCTTATAGTACTAGGTAAAATAATGTGCTAATATCTTCAGCAATTGCTCTAGCTAAAATATAGACACCTACCGGCCTGACACATCAATAAAAAGAACCACCACATAGTTTTAGAGTTGGAAAGAATCTCAAACTTGTCCCGTAGAACAAGGAGCTTTTGTAAATATAGCACTACATATAACAGACTTTGGAGAAAACACCACATCTCCATAGTGGTAAGTTGCGTTTTTACAGTCATTGTGGTGACTAGAGAGCCCATTACTTGTAAAACAACAACATGCTCCCTGGCCAGACAATGGTATTAACTATCTGCTAACCCTCCTGACTAAGAAAAGTGATACTTACAGAAAATCCTTTGAAGGTTATACAGTCCATCCACTTCTCTAAGTACTCTAAAGTCTTTCCTTGGATTAAACTGGGCCATGAGAAAGCTATATATTTAGACCATATTAGCTTAGATCCTTGAAGAATTGCCTTCACTGAGTTGTATGTTAATGTAATGCCTTCAGTTTTTATTGAAGGGGACTACAAGAAACATCAATATGAAATTAATTACTGCGTTTATTGGAAAAAATGTTGACATTACTACTTGCAACAGTACCCAGTTTTCCCTGATATAAAACCCATATGATGTTGTTTTAAAAAGAGAATTCAGTGTAAGAAAGTCTTTATTTTTCTGAGGGAATTGATGCTTCTATGTTTTGATGAAAGAAATACAACTACCTCCCCACCTCATGGTTTACTGTGGTAGCCAAGAAACTCAGTTTTAAACTTAGTTACTCTACCTATGAACTACAGGTAATGTTTTGGCCCAATGGTAGACGAATTGATAGTCTATTTTCCTTCATTGTGATGTCCTTCTTCTATTTATATATGATTTTATAATAATTTAAGTACATGCATTTTTCTGGTAAACTGCCTGAAATGCTTTTGGAACAAGGCAGGATGTTAAAAAAAGGAAAAGAAAAGAAATAAAACAATAAAAAGACTTGAAAAGTGATGTTTTTCATGAGTTGTATGAAGTGAATCACAAAATAATGACATGCCTCATATTAGTTTGGGTATTATATTGCTATGTCTCTGCTTTAATAATTTAATATCTAGTTTATTTACAGAGAATATGCTTTGCTTTGGACAGCATAGAACCACTGATTAAGGTTTAAAAATGGAAACCATCTCAACAGGTTAAAGTTAATTATTTTAAAATTTTATCTCAAATAAATTATGTGCTAAACAGTCTGCGAGGAAATGGCAAAGAAAATGATGAATAAAACAAAACTCTTAGAGCATGTAACCTGCTGTCAGAAACAGGTTTCTTTACAATAAAACTATAATTTGATGAGGTTACATAAAAGAATTTGTACGGGTCTGCAGAAACATTATGGAAATTAGATTTGTTTGGACAGTTTCAAGATTTAAGTAAAATCAGACGGATCTTATGTAATAAGTTAGAGTTCATTGGTTAGGGAAGGGAGACAAGGGCATTTTAGCCAAGGAGGTCAGCACATCTAATGTCCTGGAGATGTGTAGAAGCATGATGCCTGAGATGTGTGTAATGGTTGGAGGAAGAATATGAGTATGGACTTTAGATTTTTGTTTAATATTGAGTCCACCATTTGTTATATAGGTGATCCTAAGAAAGTAACTTTATTTGGCTAATCCTATATGCTCTCATTTCCAAAATGAAGATAGGACCAGGCACATAGTAGTAAGTGCCCAATAAAGAACAAACATTAATTTTCTTATTATTGATCATGCATTTAAATAGATGAGCAAACTATATACTTGGACCATATTAGCTTGGATGTTTGAAGGATTGCCTTCAACAATTCATTAAAGAAATGAAAAAGTAAACAAGTAGATTTCTGGTTTAGAAAGATAACTGGAACTAATTTAGAGGGTGGATTTGAGGGAGATATGATTAAAGATAATAAGAAATAAAGAGACTCAAACAAAAGAGAGGTGGCAAGAGCATAGTCTATGACATGTAGTTTGGAGAATGGACGCCATTTAATCATTGGTTAGATGTTAAGGGAAACTTCCAAGTTTTTGGTGTGTGATACTAGGTTTTGCCATGAAAGGAAGGAATACATGCAAAATAGACATGGGCAGGGGAAAGATATACAAATCAATGTAGGAGGTTTATTTTTCTTTGTTGTTTCTTTCATTTATAAAAGGCATGCAAAGATTGAGATGTTATATTCAAATATAAGTTGCCTAGGGAACAGGTTAGGTATGTGATCCTCGAAGTTAAAGGAGAGGCATGGACTACACTTATAGATAATTACTGTGGAAGGTAAGATTAAGGTGTGGTTGTCAATTTGATTTGTTCTACTTTGTTAATCCATGCCGTATTTATTGAGCAACAAATATATACAAAGCCCTAGGCAAAGAGACAGGAATAAGTGATTTATTAAAATAAGCATGATCATTGCTTCACGAAGGAGTTGAGGCGTGAATATGCAATTACAGACTGTGATTCTCTAATGCGAAAGAAGAGGGTGCTAGACACACTTACAAAGGGATCTAATTATTTGAAGGGGGAGCAAGAAATCAGGAGCTTCCCGAGGACGGGCATTTGTACTGAGGAGGAACAGGGATTGTCTATTTCAGGACAACAAAGAGCTGGACAGTTTGCTTCGTGTGGCACATGTTCCTACAAATATTGTCAGTAAAACCCTTGAAGTGAGAATACATAGTGAATAGTAAAAACTAAAACAACATAACATAAAGCCAACTGATGTCTGGGGATATACAAGAGCAGATGCCAGGGAGCCGGGATCCCTTCCTGCACACCTTCTACTGGGGATTTAGCCCACACCCGAGCATGTGCCCTTGACCGAAATCGAACGCAGGACCCTTCAGTCCACAGGTTGATGCTCTATTCACTGAGCCAAACTGGCTAGGGCTCCAAGACTCTTTTTAAAGAGGAAAAAAAGATGAAATATTGCTGACTTGAGCCTGGAATGGAGTTCTGGAGTATAACAGTATTCAATGGGTTCCCCAATTGGGATCCATTGAGAAAAATGGAAAATTATGATCTGATCTGACAATGTAAAGGTTATTGGTCCCCTTCAGTTACAGGACAATAAATAGAAAAGGAATCAGATTACAGTAGGTTGAAAATTAAATTGAAAGTGAGAACATGGCACTGTAAGCAATGCTTTCAAAAAGCTCAAATGGAGAAAGAGGGAAGAATGTGAGGATAGGGGAATGGGTGACCTAGGCTCTGGAGTTTTATTTCTGTATTTACGGTAAATTAAGCACATTAAGCATCTTCATAAAGTGAAAGGAAAGAGGCATTTAAAAAGAAAATGTGGCTTTGAATAAATAACAAAAAAATAATAATCATCATGGACCAATGTTGAGAAAGGAGCAACAAGTAAAGGGGATAAGCGCTGGAGTGCAATAATTAGCCTCAGGCCAGTGGAAGGGCGTTGGACGTAAGGGAAGGTTCTGGAAGAACTCAGAGAGTTGCATGATAGGTACTTTTATATGTGGAAGGATATAAAAATTTGGAGTGGCTGAAACCGGTTTGGCTCAGTGGATAGAGCGTCGGCCTGCGGACTGAAAGGTCCCAGGTTCGGTTCTGGTCAAGAGCATGTACCTGGGTTGTGGGCACATCCCCTGTAGGAGATGTGCAGGAGGCAGCTGATCGATGTTTCTCTCTCATCGATGTTTCTAACTCTCTATCGCTCTCCCTTCCTCTCTGTAAAATATATTTTAAAAAAAATTTGGAGTGGATCATTTGATCCAGCACTACATTTAGATGATGAGGCTTTGTTGTCTAATTTCACACCTGAGGCTAAAAGTGATGTAAAATTTTGACCGAGATCACAAAACAAGGTATGTTTTGTCTTCTAAGAAGAGCGCTCAAATATAACTTGAATATGAATTGAGATTTATTTATTTAACTTTAATGATCATTAGAGCACAATCTACAAGTACACTATATTAAATACACATTTCTTATTTTTAAACACATAACATGGATATATATACCTCAGTGATTATTTTTTATGAGGCAAATTAATACTTGCCAGCTAACAAATTTTCAAGAAGTTTTCAGATACTTTTCAGATACTTTGGCAGATACCGTACTTTAACTGCATTTGTTCATGATTATGAAAGCAGAGAACGGCCAGTCTGATTAGAATAAAAGGACACCGATATGGTCTGTGGCTTAATACTATTTCCAGAAAATTATTCTTTTTTACTTAAAAATTAATCTAAAGAAAACTAAAGCAGAGGTAGACTACACTGACTTTTTTTTTTAAAGATGGTAGGCTACTCTACTTCATTTTCCTCCAGGTCTAAGGGCATGGTTATTTCCAAGGTAAGTTTAGGAAACACTTCCCAAAATTCATTTGGATCATGAAATTGGATTGAGTACCCATTGGTAAATTCACCAATGTAAAGTTTTAAAACTTTTCCATGAAGGAAAAGCATTCTTCTCATTAATATTGCATTGCCAAATTTAAAATCAGAAACTTATTCATTTTTTATTCAACAGAAATTTCTGAAGTACCTGCACTGTGCTTGGCACGCTAGCTGTGAATGAGAAAATAAAAACAAGCAATGTGCCTGATGTAATGTTCCCACTGAATTAATCCCTAAACTTGAACCTCTGGGAACTGAAATAATAGAAACCTTATTAGTTGTTTTCCTGCATATTAGGTCATAATATCAATTATTTGGACCTAGACTTGTTTTCATTATGTGTGATCTCATATGTGGGTATACTTAAATCCAGTATTCATAACTCATAGGTTCTTGCATTTAAAATGCATTATTAAGAATATGTTTGTTTGCATAAATAAGTACTTCTATTTTCCAAATACAGGGGTTTACAAGGCATGTTATTTGATTTGCCAAATCACAATGCCAACTTGATTGGCACCCTCATAGCATTGAAATATAATATATCAATAAATTTCTGTATGGGACATTTATACCACAAACCACTGTTTATCATTTGTGACACACTCCCAAATAACTAACATTTTATCTTCAAAATTATGCTAGTATGAAAGTGCATATATAACTAATATAACTAAAAAGATGTAATTTCAGAGATAACAATGAAAAAGTAGTATACAACATGGGGAATGAAAACAC